ACACAATATTTCCACATATGAAAAAATCTCTTATTCTACTGCTTGCACGTTCACATTTGACCACACGAGGGCATCCAAGCTCCATCGATGACAAGTCGCCCTCAGCCCAAAACACCTGGGGCGAACTGTCTGCACTGTTTTTGCTTCTCTGATCAGCGAATTAATAACTAAACTATAAACTGGGTGCTGCTATGGTCCAAGTGTCTCTGGTTATTTTATTTTAATTCAAAAGCAGTTTGAAAACGGGAAATGGGTCAGTTCTCGTTTTGGTTCTAGCTTCATTTTACTGTTTCTCAAACTAATCATTAAATCAAATAACAAATATGAAACAGTGGAATAAAGGGTCGTATTTAATTAATCCATATTAAAAAAATCCTATCACATCAACCGGAAATCAGCGACCAGATTGCACGTGTTATCAAAGCTCAGAAATCACTGAGATCAGGCGATCGGGTTAAAAATGATAAAGACAGAAAAGATGCATTAGTGTTGAGCAGACAGGCCTAATCCTGACATTTTAGGAGACTATATGATGTTTTTTACAACTGTTTCTATATTTGATGTAGTTACTGTATCAGTAGAAACTGAAGCGATATGAGGAAGAGACTCTTAAAGACTCCCGTCATTTAACAGCGAAATCATAGAGAAATGAAAGTCCCGCTGCTCAGTAATGATGAGGAAATATAACACTGCAATGTGGCGCCGTTAGAGGAGAACTTCGTTATAGCATCTGTGTTTCTGCTCCAGATGTTGTGGGGAAAATGATTTGCAGCTTTGCTCCAGATTTGGAGACTTAAATAAAGCCCAATTTCTTTTATTGAGATTAAGACTCTCCAGAAAACAAGCGCTAATCTGAGTTGGCCCAGGCGTTCAAACGACAAACCCACAAACATCCACGCTTTTATACTCATTTTTGGCAAGCAGGGGTCGACATGTGTGTCACGCATCCCCCTGGTTCTGACTCTTTAGAGGACACCATTTCCCAGGATCCTCTGCGTGAACATATGACCATGACGTCATCCCACACCATCTATCAGAGATGTGCCTCACCGGATCACTGATTCTGTTCACCTGCTCTGTAGACCCCTGTAGTCGTGTCGTCATTTTGTGCTCTTATGCCCATAGAGCCCGGTCGAGCTATCTCTATCGGCCAGAATGAACAGGGTTTTCGAAAAATCGCCTCTAGCGCCCCCTGTGTTCAATAAACATGTCCAGAACCCGATACGTTCTGTCCTGTGAACGTTCTTCTCTCGAACACCACTGGATCCTCTGAATTACGAGGTCGTTAAAGAGTTGTAATATGAATATTGCTACATGTGAGAAATGTACTTTAAATTAGATTTTAAATGCCATATTTAAAATCAATATAAAGGGCAAAATTTGTTGTGTAATTCTTTATTTTCCCAGTTAGTACAATTATAAACCCTCACTACTTATATTTATGATATGAGATCAGGTTTATGAGGTTTAATGATAATGAGTAGCTTTGGCCAATAATTGATATAGAATATTTGATTCATTAGACCATATAAGTGCTGATATTATAAATAATTATTATTCTTTTGTTCTCTTTAAGGTACTTTTGGAATTTTTACTGCTTCTTCTTACAAATGAGACTAAATCTCCAGTTCGGTAGAGAGTGAGGTGGATGAGCTTGTCAGCAGGGCAGTTTGGCCATGTTTTAGTTGTAAACCAAACAAAGAGAATATGGATGTTAACAGTGTTACACGCTGTCTGTGCAAAATATAGTTAACATTATAAATTATAAATGTTTAAGTAATATTAGAAGGTAGCCTGGTTGGTAATAGTATGGTCACTATATTGTGGTATATGTTAATTGTCAAGCGTATCTCTGGTCTGATCTATGAGGAGACCCGCGGCGTGCTCAAGGTGTTCCTGGAGAACGTGATCAGGGACGCCGTCACCTACACCGAGCACGCCAAGAGAAAGACCGTCACCGCCATGGATGTGGTTTACGCCCTGAAGCGTCAGGGACGAACCCTGTACGGCTTCGGAGGCTAAACGCTCGACTCGAACAACGATAAATAACGGCTCTTTTAAGAGCCCCCCACAGACCCACCAGAAGAGGTTTTCCTTATGATCCTGTAGTAATGAAAGCAGACTTTTATTGCATTCCGACTTGCTAATGATTTTACCTCTTAAACACTGACGGAATGACCTTAATTTGATACTGAAATAACTGGGAAAAGAGTGGAGGCGAAAGCTTCAACTAGCTGGACGGTCCCTCCTAATAAAGTTTGAAATATTTTAATCTTTTAATTTCAGAATCAAAATAATCCTTTAGTTGTCTCACAACGGGGAAAGTCTCAAAGCACTCAAAAGATAGAAAGATACGCTTACACATACACGGAGTTTGAGGTCACAGTGCACAGTATCCGACAAACACTTTGCAGTAGTAAATAAAATAAGAATTAAAATAGATAAAATAGAGTGCGTCCTACCACACACAAACACACACACAGTCACACTTTTAAACCTTACATTGTGCCGAAAATGTGATATATTTTATGCGCTTTCGTGAGTTCATAATCGTATAACTGATAGGAACGTATGTATTATACATGGCACACAGTAGATAAGAATGCGCGGGAAGGCGAACAAAGGGAAAGTCTTGAGCTGGGAAGAGAAGGAGGGGGGAGGGGTGGGCGTTGCCCGCAAATCGAACGATTGATTGTTGTCCAATGATCGTTTGTTTGCATTCAGAAGGGCGGAGCTATAATTTGAATATCGGAGTCTAGATAAGCCGGTGCGGGCGCGCTTCCTCATTCTTCGGTTGAACTCGAAAAAGGGAAAACCATGCCTGAACCCGCCAAGTCCGCCCCGAAGAAGGGCTCCAAGAAAGCCGTGACTAAGACGGCTGGTAAGGGAGGCAAGAAGCGCAGAAAGTCCAGAAGGGAGAGCTATGCGATCTACGTGTACAAGGTGCTGAAGCAGGTCCACCCCGACACCGGCATTTCTTCCAAGGCGATGGGCATCATGAACTCGTTCGTCAACGACATTTTCGAGCGCATCGCCGGTGAGTCGTCTCGTTTGGCTCATTACAACAAACGCTCTACCATCACGTCCAGGGAGATCCAGACCGCCGTGCGCCTGCTTCTTCCCGGTGAGCTGGCCAAGCACGCCGTGTCCGAGGGCACCAAGGCCGTCACCAAGTACACCAGCTCCAAGTAACAAGTGACAAATTTCATCAAACCCAACGGCTCTTTTAAGAGCCACCCACGTTTCCGCTTAAAGAGCTTATTTTGTGTGGGTAACTGTAAGGCTTGTAGTAGAATGAGTTATGTAAGTGTTTAAATGCACATCCTTTGGTTTGTGTATACAAAAAGTGTGTTTGTTCCAGTACGTGATCTGCAATTCCTTCTGCAAACACCTGTAAAATACAGGAAACATCCAGGCTTTGTTTTGAGTTATAACGCTTCTAAACCTCTATCATTTTTTTCTTTTCTTGACATGCATGTGTGTATTTATGAATAAAAATAAACATTGTGTGCACATTTGTTATTGTAAGAGCTGTTTACTTATGTATTCTTTTAATATTTTAGCATTTTATTGCTTCTCTGCCTTTTGTACTTGATCAAGTGTAGTATCTGTTCTTATTAGTTTAATATCTGATGCGTCCTCTAAATGAGGGCTACACATTAAATTGATATTTACAACAAGGAGACGGAAGAGGAGCTTGCTCCGTAAGCTCCACGCATCAACCTGGTATTGCAGTACTTCTGGGAACATTGTACCTCCTTTAGAAAGCCCCACAACCCCATCTTCAGCATGTTCTACTGCTGCATCATTGCCTGGTTTGGGAATTGCACTGCCTCCGACTGCAAGTCCCTACAGAGAATAGTGAGGACAGCTGAGAAGATCATTGGGGTCTCTCACCCCTCCATCTGGAACATTGCTGCTAATACAGTGCTTGCACTTTCTTCACTCTGGTACTGTGTACCTACCTCAGGAACTGCTGTGTTCACGTATGTTACAATCTGACTGCGTAAACTCACAGATCACAGCATGTTAAATAATCTTTGCACCTTATTCCACTACCTCATACTCAGAAATGAGTGCTGTGTCGGCGCTGCACTGTCCTGTCCGTTTACTGTGTCTGAATGTCTGTTTTATATATTGTATTTATTGTATTGTTTCTAGTTTGATTTTTTTTTTCTTTGTACTGTCTATTTTGTTCCTTGTTGCACCGTGTTGTTCCTTGGAGGAACGTAATTTCACTCCACTGTGTACTTGTACATAGATGGAATGACAATAAAAGCCTCTTGACTTGACTTTAAGGCTTTTGAATAGTGGAATAAGAGGAGGTCAGTGTGTGTGGTACAAATGGAAAGAACTATGAAACTATAAAAAAGTATAAAAATGAAGGTTATACTGTATGCCCTGCAGTAGTATGTTGAAGGTAGAGTAAGCAAAACTTTTTTCTTTGTATTATTATTATTGTTGTTATTGTTTATGACACAAATAAAAATTAAATAATGAGTAACTTAAAGTTGGTTAGATGCTACGTCGTATTAAGTCTATGATATAGAGCCAGGCATTAGGCCCATGATGCAGTTAGAGTAAGTAGGCCTTACGCTAATGCTGAAGTGCCATCAAGTACAGGTAGCTAAAGAGCTAAACCTTAGGCTATTGCTGCTGGTAGAATAAGCAAAAGTAGTTTTATATAGATTTATCACTAAGCCTCTGGCTTCTAAAGTAGTCAGAGTTACTAAAGGTAGCTGTGGAGCTTATCATGAAGATAGCGTTAGTGTAGGGCAAAGCCTTAGGCTTCAGAAGAAGAAGAGTGAACAAAATTAGCTTTCAAACTAGGCCTCAGGCTTAAAATGTAGATGGAGTAAATGATAGCAGGTTAGAGTGAGTAGCAGTAGCTATGGAGCTAAAGTTAAATGATGTTAAAGTAGGGCAGGGCCCCAGGCTTGTGAAGGAGTAAGAGTGAGTGAACTGAGATGTATAGCGAGCCGTTAGACTTATGATGAAGTTGTAGAATGACAGCAGGTGCAGAGCTAGGCTTTTAGCTGATGATACGGTTTAAGCAAGCCAGAATCAAGCCTTTCATCTGTACACTGGCTCAAAATGTAGTTGGAGTAAGTTATATTAGGTTTTTGGTTTATGGTCAAGTTGGATAATGTCAAAATAGGTTTAGGGCAAGGCCTTAGGCTTATGATGAAGTCAGATTAAGCAAAGGGAGGCATCTAGCTAGGTTTTGTGTCTTTGTTGTAGTAAAGTAAATAACAGTGGATTCATGAGGAGATAAGAATAAAACATAAATCTAAGGTGTAGCTCTATAAGCCCTTTTACTTACTCTGTATATATTTTAAGTCTAACGCTTATGATGAAGCTAGTGTAAGCAAAAATAGGCTTTCAGTGAGCACTAAAGCTTATAATGTAGAAAGCTTAAGAAAGTGTTGCTATAGAGCTCCGTCTTAGGTTTATGAATAAATAAGAGATTGTAAAAGTCAGTATAGGGTGATGTCTTAGGCTTCTAAAGAAGTTAGAGTTAGCAAAATGAGATTTCCAGTAAGTGATGGTAGGTTTAGAATGAGGTCCTATAGGCTTGTAGTGTAGTTAGTGTGAGAACGAGATGTTATAGTGCTACAGATAAAGAATGTCAAAGTAATCTTAAGGCAGGGCCTCAGGCTTGTGAAGTAGTAAGAGTGAGTGAAAACTGAAATGTATAGTGCTCCAATAGACTTATGATGAAGCTATAAAATTAAAATCATGTACAGAACGAGGCTTTAAGCTCATGTTGTAGTTAGAGTAGGCCAAATTTGTCTTACATCTAGCCTTCAAGCTTAAAATGTATTTAGAGTAATAGCAAATTTAGAGTTAGACCTTTTTTGAGGTTTGTGGTGAAATTAGTTAAAGTGAAAGTAGATTTAGGGCAAGACCTTGACCGTTGCTGAGGTCAGAGTAAGGTGATGACCCCTCCTTGCCCATCCCAAATGGTTACACACCATTATCTCCAACTTTCATGACTACTTTGAATACCATTATATCCAAACCTTACAAAATTTCTTTTATTATCGTTCACATCATTGTTAACGTCATTATTTTTTCTTATCAAGAATGATTCCATTATTTCCAAACCAAAAAGTAACATATTTTCAAAGATGATCACAGGCCAAGGCCACAATCAGGCTAAGGCCTTTACGCTTTATTGACTTTGTGTATTACTACTATTCAGTATGGTTACAGCTAGGTCTGTCTATGTATGTTCTTTTCTCCTTCAAAGACATTTTAGTCTTAAAATGGAACAAACAGGTTCTTCTCTCTGTGTGTGCCTCTCCTAGATGTGGCCTACTTGGCCCACACCACTGCACTTTGCGTTCACACTCAGGGTCACCCACACACACAAAGCCATGGAGTATGGAGAGCCATACAAGTAAAATATCATGATATAATAATCTTTTCCATATGAGATTTGGGTTATTTCACACTTGTCAAGTCAAAAGTTCATTTACATTTTGTACAACAGCACATCAGCAGAGAGCAGGCTCTGGCCCCGCGGGCCGCCGACCTCACGCCTGTGCTTTACTCGCTCCAAGAGAGCCCGTTTTACACATAGTCAACGAGGCGCTCGGTCGCTGGAAGTTCGCCCACGCCCTCGCCGAGGCTCTCCCCGAACGCGCTGTTGAGCTCTCCGAAAGTTGACGCCGCCGTTTGCCGCCGTTTTCCACCGATTATCGCGCCAAATACGCCGTCTTTCGTTCGGAGCGGCGACCGCCCGGCGCCCTTTTGAGAGCGCCCTGTAAAACGAGGCGTCGCTGTGCACCCATTCCCGGACTGGGGACACACGGCAGAGCCTCTTCTAGAGGAACGAGCCGCTGGACGCTCGCCGAGCGGCGCTTTCGCTCGTATTTTGCCCGATAAATGCCACGAGAAAACACAAATCTGAGCGCGTCACTGAGACAAAGAGGCACAGCGCCCGCGTGGTTGAGTCTACGCCGTTCTCATGTGCCTTTTAAGGGGCCGGCTCCCCGCCTGAGAGGGAGGTTCCTCTGAACAGTCTAGTTTGTGCTCTTTCTCGCTTCACTCGCAGCAAAAGCAGAACGATGGCAGAAGTCGCTCCTGCTCCAGCCGCCGCGCCGGCCAAAGCTCCCAAGAAGAAAAGCGCTGCCCGGCCCAAGAAAGCCGGCCCCAGCGTCGGCGAGCTCATCGTCAAGGCCATTTCGCAGTCCAAGGAGAGGAGCGGTGTGTCTCTCGCCGCCCTCAAGAAAGCCCTGGCTGCCGGCGGCTACGACGTGGAGAAGAACAATTCCCGCGTTAAGCTCGCGGTCAAGAGCCTCGTGACAAAGGGCACTCTGGTGCAGACCAAAGGCACCGGTGCGTCAGGCTCCTTCAAGCTCAACAAGAAGCAAGCCGAGGCCAAAAAGAAGCCGGCGAAGAAAGCAGCGACCAAACCCAAGAAGGCGGCCGCCAAAAAACCCGCCGCGGCCAAGAAGCCCAAGAAGGTAGCGGCGAAGAAGCCCGCGGCCGCCAAGAAGTCGCCGAAAAAAGCCAAGAAGGTAACGGCGAAGAAGCCCGCGGCCGCCAAGAAAGTCGCCAAGTCTCCCAAAAAAGCCAAGAAGCCGGCGGCCCCGAAGAAGACGGCCAAGAGCCCGAAGAAAACAAAAGCCGTCAAGCCCAAAGCTGCCAAGCCCAAGACGGCGAAAAAGGCGGCTCCCAAGAAGAAGTAAACGTGCTGTTCACCCTCATGTCCTGTTTCTCCCATTGAAAAAAATGCCCGTTTGAAAAAAAACGGCTCTTTTAAGAGCCACCCACATTTTATTAAAGAGTTAGATTTTCTTTCGTGCTGCACTTAAAAACTGGCCAGTAGTAATACTTTAAAGCGCCAGGGTCAAAATTATGACCGAGTTGCCGTTTGCATTTACACGGATGAGAGTAGGAGCTGAAATTGGATAAAAAACAGCGAGAAAACAGGGACTTGCTTTGTTTCCTTTGTCCTCATCTCTTTCTCCCTCAGTTCAGTTCAGGTTTGCTTTATTGACATGACAAATTTACATGTGTAAATAATAATATGCAAATAATAATAATAATAGTTACAAAACCAAGATTGATAACAATAAAGCAATTAAGAAGAGAAAGTGTTATCAATAATATAAAAGTATACACAATAATAAAAAAAATATTTGATATGTGTCTGCAGCACATAATTTATCTTCATCTCCCAAAGTATCGTGTGTATTTTATCGCTCTCTCTCTCTATCTCTGTAACACATACACGCAAGCGCGCAAGCGAAGGGGAGGTGGGGGGGAAGCAGAGGGCTTGGAGAAGAAAGGTGGGCGGGCCCCAAATTATGACGACGCTAATATGATTGGTTGTTGGATGCCATCGCATTTTAGCCAATAGAAACATGGCAGCTTTGCCTATATGGAGGGCGTTCGGAAACGATTGCTGTTTATTTTAGCTTAGTTCATCAAACTTAACAGAAGTGCAAAAAATGAGTGGAAGGGGGAAAACCGGAGGTAAGGCTAGGGCGAAGGCCAAGACTCGCTCTTCCCGCGCCGGGCTGCAGTTTCCTGTGGGCCGTGTGCATAGGCTTCTGCGCAAAGGCAACTATGCCGAGCGCGTCGGCGCCGGCGCTCCAGTCTACTTGGCTGCCGTCCTGGAGTATCTGACCGCTGAGATCCTTGAGTTGGCCGGCAACGCCGCTCGCGACAACAAGAAGACCCGTATCATCCCTCGTCACCTGCAGTTGGCCGTTCGTAATGATGAGGAGCTCAACAAACTGCTCGGAGGAGTGACCATCGCTCAGGGTGGTGTTCTGCCTAACATTCAGGCTGTCCTGCTGCCCAAGAAAACAGAGAAGGCGGCCAAGACCAAATAAATTGGGTTCTTCTGCCAAATTATAAAAAAAAAAAACAAAGGCTCTTTTAAGAGCCACCCACCATAGCAACAAAAGTGCAGTTTTTTTCCTTATGCTAAAAAGTAGAAAAAAACGACTTTCTATTGATCGTTAGTTCAATTCATTCTATCGTGTGTAGGATAGAATGAAATAAAAGCATCACAGCTTCACCACGTCCCACGATTGCGTGCTGAATACCGCTTTGTTCACCTTCCCGCGCATTCTTATCTACTGTTATGTACATTACATACGTTCCTGTCAGGTTTATTACTATAACAAGTTTAGGTTATTTTCATTCCGTACACACACACGTGCAAGTTATACGATTATGAACTCACGCATGAAATATATCACATTTTTGGCACAGTGCAAGCTTTAGAAGTGTGACTTAAAAGCTCTTATTTTACTCGAATACAAGGCGAATAAACTTACACGAACGTCTTTGTAACTACGCGAAAAAAGGTCAAATAACAGGCGTGTAATAATGAATGAACCAAAAATCTGAGTAACGTTACACCGAACATGTAAAACAGAAAAAAACAACAATGTGGTACATGAGCCCGCCAAGGCGTTGGGGCAGCGCCTTGTTATTTGAAAATGTTGGCGCGGCAGAAAACGCCCAATAGCGTTTAGCCATCGCGTGGGGAGCCGTCCAATGGAAGGCGGGCACATTCCGGACGCCCAATGAGCGGCGAGCAGCTCGAACCCTTAAAAGGGCCGCGGTCTGTGCGCAGAGTTATTCCGTTTCTTTGGTGCAGAAGAACAAAGTTTGACGTCATGGCAAGAACCAAGCAGACCGCCCGCAAATCTACCGGTGGCAAAGCCCCGCGGAAGCAGCTGGCTACCAAGGCTGCTCGTAAGAGCGCTCCGGCTACTGGCGGTGTCAAGAAGCCTCACCGTTACAGGCCTGGCACCGTGGCTCTGAGGGAGATCCGCCGTTACCAGAAATCCACAGAGCTGCTGATCCGTAAGCTGCCCTTCCAGCGCCTGGTGCGGGAGATCGCTCAGGACTTCAAGACTGATCTTCGCTTCCAGAGCTCTGCCGTCATGGCCCTGCAGGAGGCTAGCGAGGCGTACTTGGTGGGTCTGTTCGAGGACACTAATCTGTGCGCCATCCACGCCAAGAGAGTCACCATCATGCCTAAGGACATCCAGCTGGCCCGCCGTATCCGCGGAGAGCGCGCATAAATTAAACAGCGCGCTCCCAGGTTTCCCCAAATCACCCCAACGGCTCTTTTAAGAGCCACCTAACTGTTTACCCAAGAGAGTAACTATTCTAGTAACCCCAGAGTTCATTCACGTGCTGTGACTGTGTGAGGAGAACATCAACTATCCTAAACTAGCGGTGTCCGTGGCGTAGCGAAGAGAGTGATGCGTGTAATACGGGCGTCACCTTCCCGCGCATTCTTAGCTATTGGGTATCACACGTACAATACAAATGTCCTTATCGGGTTTATTCTAAATATAACGAGTTTCCCCCCACCCCTCATTCCTTACACACACACACGAAAATGTTTTGCCTGTCAACTCAAGAAAGCGCATGAAATAAAATGATCGTACAATCGTACAAACAAAGGGTTTTCAAGCTAGTTTAAGCATTCGCCACCACTCCAGTTGATCCGATATTAAATCAAGCTCACTCTGTCTTTAAAAAGCAAAATTACCATGGAGACATAATACAATGCTTGTTGTTTTCACTATTACTGGGTTATAAGGAAAAACTCTTCCGGTGGGTCTGTGGGGGGCTCTTAAAAGAGCCGTTGGGTTTATCGTTGTTCGAGTCGAGCGTTTAGCCTCCGAAGCCGTACAGGGTTCGTCCCTGACGCTTCAGGGCGTAAACCACATCCATAGCGGTGACGGTCTTCCTCTTGGCGTGCTCGGTGTAGGTGACGGCGTCCCTGATCACGTTCTCCAGGAACACCTTGAGCACGCCGCGGGTCTCCTCATAGATCAAACCAGAGATACGCTTGACACCGCCACGGCGAGCCAGACGGCGGATAGCTGGCTTGGTGATGCCCTGGATGTTATCGCGAAGCACTTTGCGGTGACGCTTAGCGCCTCCTTTACCGAGACCCTTTCCTCCTTTTCTTACACTTCAATTTCCTCCTTTTCTTTTTTTTTTTTAAGAAACTTTATTTGGTTAGCAACAATTCAACATATAAAACAGACGGAGCATAAGAAAGACAGCATATATATACACATACCTTAACACCCTACAATTCAAAAATGTCCCACAAGTCAACGTCTTTGAATGGCGTGTTCAACGTCCGCAGTCTCTTTAGTTCAATTTTAATTTGTTTAAAAACGTCTCTGCTGGACACGAATTGTTGGTCTATGGTCATCCGACATCTTGTTTTCCAAAGTTTAGACTTTACAATAGCGATGATAAACCACAAGAACTCATGTTTCCTGTTATCTACTTTTTCATCAAAAATCCCATATATTATAGATTTCATATGTATATTTATTTCTAAACCCATATCCTTAACCATCTCCCATACTTCTTGAGAGCGATAACAGTTAAATAAAAAATGGTCTAAAGTCTCTTCTTCTTGGCAATTTGGCATGGGGCATAAAGTGGTTTTCACAAAGCAACTCCATCTTACTACAGCTCTCACTGGCAGCCTTCTTACGGCCATCAGCCATGAGAGATCTCCCTGTTTGTCAGAAAGTTTTTTACACAGAAGATTTTTAATACACCTGTCATTTTCTTCTCCTACAAGATTTCTAAATTCTACCTTTGAGCCGTACTCTTCATCAGTTATTAACCCATATATCTTTTTATTTGAATCATTAATCCAATCGATATCTAAATGTTTGTATTTGTTTATAAAATCACCATATAACAACTTATAATAGGGTACTGATGTTCTAGCACGACCCTTTTTTTGCTTCCAATTGGTAATATTTCCAATCCAATCTGCTTGTCTATTTATACCATTTGCAATGATTTTACACACAGAGATTTTGGTTTTAATGGCGATATCTATGGCTCCTAATCCCCCCAAATCTTTCCTCTTATATAGCAAGTTTCGTTTTGTTACTTCTCTAGTGGAATCCCATATAAAATTACAACATAATTTATTCACAATTTTGAGCCATTTATCTGTAGGTGGAAATATGCAAGATAAAAATAAAATTTTTGATAAAATATAAGTCTTAACTATATTTATTCTAGTTTTATAGCTTAAATCACAATTTTTCCATTTACTCACTTCTTCTTTTATAACTTCTACTTTTCCATTCCAATTATTCTCGACACAATCTTTATTATTTATACAAATTCCTAAAACCTTTAAATTTTGAGTTTCTGGTATATTAACCACAAACTTATTTTCAGGATTCCCTATCCAAACACATTCAGATTTAGAGACATTTAGTCTTGCTCCTGATACTTGTTCATACATTTTAAAATGTTCAAATATTGCATCTAATTCATTTTTAGATTTAACAAAAACAGTTATGTCATCTGCATATGCAGAGATCACAACTTTCCTTCCACCTACAGTTACTCCTTTTAAACGCTCATCGTTCCTAACTTTTGTGATCAAAGGACTTATAGCCAATACATAAAGAGCTGCACTAAGAGGGCAACCTTGCTTTACACCCCTCATAACTTCAAAGGAATCTGTCAAATTGCCATTCACATTAATCTGTATATTGCTTTTGGCATATAAACACATGATCATTTTAATAAAATTATCAGGAAAATTATACATTCTAAACACTTCCCATAAATAAGTTCTAGAGACATAATCAAAAGCTTTTTTCTGATCAAGAGTAACAATATAAAAACTTTCACCACTCTCATATACCAGTTCTCTTAAAGTGTTCAAATTATCCCACATAGCTCTCCCTTTAATAGCACATGTTTGCTCTTTAGCTATGATTAAATCCAAAATATCATTTAATCTATTCATTATTACTTTTGCAAAGATCTTGTAATCAACATTCATCAAAGTAAGGTGTCTCCAGTTGTTAATATCACTGGCATCACCCTTTTTATACAATAATGATAACACCCCATCATAAAACGTGTCATACATATAACCTTTTCCAATACCTTCATTAAACACCCGTGTAAGTAAGTTAGATAAGTCGAAAATACACATTTGATAAAATTCCGAGGGCAAGCCATCTTTCCCAGGAGATTTCCCAGTGTTTAGCTGTTTAATGGCAGACACTACTTCACTTTCTATTACCTCATCTCCCAAATGATCAAAATAATAATTATATTTAAAGTTCAAAAAGGACTTTAACATGTTAACATCTATTTCTATTTCTTGATACATTTCCTCACAAAGCTCTTTTATTGTATGTCTAACTTTTCCTGATTCGGTAATAATAATACCACTTTTATCTCTGATGCTAGTAACACAAGATCTTTGCTTTTGTTTTGAAAACAGATGAGATATTTGCGATGGATTCAAAGTTTCATCAAGATGAACACCAAGTTTAATCTGCAATTTCTGTAAATGTTCATTATTCATAACATCAATTTCATCCTTTAATTCACGTAAACTATTTTCTTCAACTGCAGTTATGCATGGTTTTAATTTCAAGTTAATATATTGCCCTGTTTCCTCCTTTTCCTCTACCAGACATGCTACTTAGCTCTTCACTTGATGGCTGCAAAGAGAATCAATGGGAACTGGAGCGATGTGCGTGCCTGTTGTGCTCCTCTACAGGACCTAGTTGAAACCAAGGCACGGGAGGCGGAGCCACGCACAACAGACACCACAGAGAAAACAGCAACACGATGGAATCAAGGAAAACACACAAAGCAAATACTGCCATGAAATAAATAACCCCCCTATTATTATAACTATTACTATTGCCAATACATTCTTGTAGTAGCATTTCACAGCCTACATAATCGCATGTCAAGTCGAAATGTCAAATATTGTCCAAAGTACAAAACAAAAAAAGTTTGTGTGTGTGTGTGTGTGTGTGTGTGTGTGTTAGTTATATACAATATACTATGTATGAGAGAGTTTATGTAGGAAATAAGCGCTACAGCTCTCATGTATGTCTCTGATGAAGCTTGGGCGCAATCCTGTGATCAAACCGTAAACAGGCAAGTCCGAGAAAGATTATTAGACTCCTTATTGTAAATTCTGAACTACTGTATAAAATGATGTGGTTTGGTTGTTATAATTACTGTAAAATTATTGTCATTTTATTCCCCTTTTTATTTACGCAGCATCACAAACACAGTAATTCAATAAGTCATTCAGCAACACAATATTTTCACATATGAAAATATCTCCTACTCTACTACTTGCAGGTTCTCATTTTGACCACACGATGGCATCCAAGCCCCATCGATGACAAATCGCCCTCAGCCCAAAACATCTGGGATGGTCTTTTTGCACTGTTTTCGCTTCTCTGATCAGAAAAATAATAATTACACTACGTATTGGGTGCTGCTATAGTATAAGTTTAGTTAATGTTCACTGAAAAGATCCCCTGCATTTTTTAAATAAAAAATGTAGTCTACATTAAAAAAAAATAATAATAATAATAAATAAATAAATAAATAAATAAATAAATAAAGTATCTCCCCTCGTTTTCAGTGTAAGACTGCATCAAACCCTTCTTCAGTGTAAGTAGCTGACACTCATTCTCTGTCTCTTTCTACAATGCACACACACACTTCTTTATACGCTTATTTAGACGCTTTATGTCTGTTTACCATCTAAAATCACTGTGTTTTCATAGAAGTTCGTTTTAATTTCTTTATCAGTCCATTGATACTTGCTGTCTTCTGCCATGTTTCCTAGCAACAGCTGGGAATAACAGAATCACCTGATCAGCCATATGACGGCCCAAGCCATCAGGCTGCTGAACAGCCAGTAGTGCTGGTGTCTTGGTCAGTGGGCCGGTCACTACAACTCTGAATCATCATCATGATGATCTCTATAAACGACCCACATCAACAGACTGACTCTGATTTCTTACTGTAACTTATATCTAGCCATCCTATACCTGCACACATAGACTGATATCTTGTACATCTTCTATTCATATCTTGTAATCTGGAATATCTATATATATATATATCAATGTTCTATCTAATCTATGTATCTCCCTCTGACTCGCATATTGCACACATGGAAAGTGTATAAATGTACATTTCATAGCTTCTATTTCATAACTCATATCACTGTACAAAAACTGCATTTTGAAATAGTGCAACAATGCACTGCTCGTGTATATTAATGTGTATATTGTGCATATGTGTATATAGTTAGAGTATAATATATATATATATATACCCCATTTCCAACAAATTTGGGACGCTGTGCAGAGTGTAAACAAAAATATGATGCAATGATGCGCAAATAAAGTAAACCATATTTTTAAAGGGAAATACTACAAAGACAACAATTCAAATGTTGAAACTGAGAAATTGTATTTTTTTTATTTATAATATATGCCCATTTTCAATTTGATGCCAACAACACGTTCCAAAAAAGTTGGGACAGGGGCCTGTTTACCACTGTGTTTCATCACCTCTTCTTTAACAACACTCTGTAAGTGTTTGTGAACTGAGGCGACTCTGCTGTAGTTTTGAAAGTGAAATGTTTTCTGTTCTCGTTTGATACAGGATTTCAGCTGCTCAACAGTTCAGAGTCTCATTTGCAGTATTTATCATTTCATGATGTGCAGGCAGGTCAGTTTAGCGCCCAGACTCTTTTAATACGCAGCCATGGTGCTGTAATACATGCACAATGTGGTTTGACATTGTCTTGCTGAAATAAGCAGAACCTTCTCTGAAAAAGACGCTGTTTGGACGGCAGCACGTTGCCAAAACATGTTTGTATTAATGGTCACATCAATTTGCCCACATATTCTACTGTCTTACATGCAGTGTTCACAGGGTCATAATAAGAATCTGAGCAGTAAAATTTCTTTTTTCTCAGGATTTTAACTGTCTTTAACCTGACTGCCAGGGTTTTTTGGGACATTGCAAAGTGCAATTTGCTCAGACTCTATAGTCTCAGACACCATGTTCATAGCATCATAATAAAAACTGCAGTAGAATTTCTACTTCTTTAATATTTTGATAGTCTGTTATGTTGAGCTTTAAACATAAAACCGTCAGTTTGTTGAGACGTTTCAAAAATAAAAGTATAATGCAGGATAGAAGCAGAAAATGTGATTTGCACATTCTACAGTCGGGCTGGACGACATGGCAAAACTACACTACAATGCTTGAAGACATTTATTTTCTTGATATGAAATATGTACCATGACATTTCTTTGAGATTTGGTAAGTTGGTACAGACAGAATTTATCAGTAGTGCCACATTTTACAAATACTGTACTACGCCTATGAATACAATGATTTTTATTTAACCTTCCACATATTCCACTGAACCAAATCCAATTAAATATGAGTAATTATGCTCTTTTGTGATGAAACTCTGTAGTCTCAAACTGTTAAGATTCACAGGGTTAAATTACAGTAAATGTTTCTACAGTAAATGTTTTTCTGCTTCAGGAGTTTTATGTTGTGGTAGATTGTGTATCAAACCTGATAGTCAGATTTCTGAGACATAAATCAGGGAGCAATAAACAGAAAGTACCTACAAAACATAGAAACAGTAAGAACCCCATATTCTATGGTCTCTCTAATTCCACTCCTTATCCTGTGGTGTAACGTTTTATAATGTTTTGACAACAAAAAAGGAGGACAACAGCAATTAAGAAGTAAATGTAGCAACTCTTTATTCAGTAGTGTCGTGCTTTTACACAATGAAATATTAGAAAAAAAGCTATAGACGTTCTGATGGATTCCACACTAAAATGTTTGTAAAGCATTTTGTGAAGATAAGCTATTATAGTTGTGTTAAGATGAAACTGCAGCATCATTTAAGGTGGAACAGAAAACTCGAACAAGAAGCTGTTTAATAAGCCAACAACCTCACTGGCAGACCTGAGTATGTCAGGCTGAAGGACTGTACATCAGAGACTGTAGTCAGCAGCACAGGAGCACCACAAGGGACTGTACTTTCCCCTTTTCTCTTTGCACTGTACAGCTCAGACTCTCAGTACAGCTCTGAGACGTGCAGAAGTTTTCGGATGACGCTGCCATTGTGGCGTGTGTAAGGCAGGGCAGGAGGAGGAGTACAGGAACCTGGTGAAGGACTTTGTGACATGGTGCTGTAGGAACAACCTGCTACTGAACACTTCCAAGACCAAGGAGATGGTGGTGGATTATACCTACAGGTATCTCGGACTGCAACTGGATGATAGGTTGGACTGGTCAGCCAACAGAGACATCCTGTACAGGAAGGGGCAAAGCTGTGGTTGCCAGCTGTCTTTTTTACGCTGTGGTGTGCTGGGGAGGAGGCATGAAAAATAGATACGAGATGCGACTGGGCAAACTGGTCAGGCGTGTGGGGTCTGTGGTAGGTTGCTGTAACATAGCTGGTCAACCGACAGACTCAGGAGATCCTTTGTCCCTAAAGCCGTTAGGCTCTTCAACTCTTCCCAGAGGGACCAGAAGAGAAGAGGGAAGAGGGAAGAGGAGAGATGAGGACTCAGTCTCTCACGTTAAATTACAGCTTTATTTAATCTATCTGCACATGTGGACACCTTACTGTACATATTGCACTTCTGCACACCTTATCGCACATCTTGCACATCTGGACACTTCACACCTGGACACTTTATTTCAGTACCAATATCTGCACATATTTATTCAGTATTGTCGTTATATGCTGTTACCTGCGCCTCCTTGTACATTCATTATTGTACTTCCTTTCTTATCTCAGGATAGATCTTATTTCATACTTTTATATATTTCTAGTTGTATATATGCCTGTAGGTAGGTTTTATATTGTATCACCAATATCATTATAACTGTGCTGTGTTGTGTGACTGATACTGGCTGCTAAATTTCCTTCAATAAAGTATCTATCTATCTATCTATCTATCTATCTATCTATCTATCTATCTATGTATCTATCTATTTGTCTGTCTGTCTGTCTGTCTGTCTATGTATCTAACAGGACAAAGTAGACTTACAGCTGCTGTTCATGCCTTTCAGCACCAGATGTTAGTTACTACATTTAAAAGATTTGAAGATTTGAAGATTTGAAGATTTCCTGAAGATTTGAAGATTTGAAGATTTCCTGATACTGATTGCTGATTTAAAGGAAAGCACTGCTTCAGAAAGCTTCGTTTTAAAATAATCTCAACAAAATCGACTGGTTTATGGTGTGTTTTACATTTTCAATGTGTAGCGCAAACAAAGACTAACAAACAGACAGTAGTAGCGTAAGTTTGGTTAAGATTCCACCATCTGTTGCGTCATAGTGAGACATTCGTGACTTTTTCGGACAACTTTGGAGCCGTTCTTCACTTTCTAAAAGACTCCACAGCGTATTTGTCTGTATTGTTTAGCTGTGTGTGAAGCAGTGAACACGATGCCGTGCTTTCCTTGGTGTTGTTTCAAACGGGTAAGATCTGTTATTTACAAATGATGATTTTAGAGGAAAAGAAAACTATTCTGCCACACTGAGAGACCAAATGATCAAATAGACTCCACTATTTTCTTAAACCTTTTCCAGCACAATAAAGCTGTTAAAAGTAAATGCATCAAGTGGTGCAGCTTTTATTTGTCTAAAAATAAGGCTGTGTGTTTGTGTTATTATGAGCAGAAGAAGAAAGTGTATCCTGCAGATGATGGAGAGGCTGTCAGCCCTGTAAAAAGGTAAATAAAGTGCTTTATATTGAGGTTTATATTGATATCACTCTTCTATAGGACTGTATGGATTATGAGTGCAGCTTTAGAGGCCCAAAAGATCAAATATGTACACTGTGGGTGCTGCAGTACATAGTTTAAAATTGATCTGGAGACCCTAGATAACTGTGTTTCTATTTATTTAATTATTCAGTAATTAATTGGATATTCATATATATTCATATTTACTACAATACCACCCCCAACCTACAGGATGCTTCCTACAGGTATATTTCAGACCTGTGGGAAACACTGAGACATTGAATATGGATGTGTTTGTGTGGGCTTTTGTTATTTAATGCACTTCCATTGCTTGTTTTCACTTCAGCCTGACACACATAATGTCTTTTGGCTTTTGTACATATACATATGAACAAATAGTGTATATTCTTAAACATAAACAAAGATATGTTAGGAAATAAAATTGATAGGGAAAAAAGAAGTATTCAGACAACACTTTGTTGAAATGCTGTTGAGGGCACTTGCAGCTTCGAGACGTCTATCCATGGTAAGAAGTAATTGTATTTCAGTTTTGGCCCATCTCTTGGCAAATCATCTTCAATTCTTCAAGGTTATGAAGGTCCCACTATTGGACTCCTCCATAAATTGTCAGTGGTATTCAGGTCAGTAGATTAGCTAGGCCATGCAAGCACTTTCAGCTTCTTTTCTAGCAGCCAATCTTGATTTATTCTTATTTATCTTACTGAAATGTCCATTTTCTCTCCAGATTCAATTTTTTGGTTTGCCAGAGAGATTGAATTCTCCTCTCATATGTCCACGAACATCACTGTCAACCTTCGTATTATTGAACCAGTTGTACTTTCAGTGATGTTTAAGGTTTTTTCTATGTCTCTGTAGCTGTTTCCATTTGAGTGTTATTTAATGATTCTGTTCCAGAGAAAGTTAGGAAGCTCCAGAAACTCCTTTATCTTCACCATGGTTGCATTATGTTGTATGAAATGTTCCCAATCAATGGTAACATCTTTTAAAATGACAAGGTGCAATGTTTTTTGTTTGTTTGTTTTTTTATGCTTGTGAATGTATACTTTTGTGTACACATTTAGAAGTCAAAATAAGCCAAGTTTGGGTCTCAAGATCACATTACATTTTGTTGACTTTCGAAGTGGAAATACGTAGACATGCTTTACAGAGGATACACCTCTGCACATTTATGCACAATTACTGTTTATTGGATGAATTTATTTATTTTTTCCAATTCAAACTTTTGCATGAAACTGGATGGATGTGTGCATTCATATCTGTATTTTATGTCTGATTTGCTCCTCTGTTGTTCTCAGGACCTCAAAGACAAACACAGTGACCCCTGAGCTTAGTCAGATCACTGAAACAGCCGCTGCTGAAATCTATGCGCCAACCACAGAGACTCATATAACGACAGTGGTTTCCAGTGAAAACCCAGTGGAAAACAAAAAAGCCAGTGAAATCTCTGTGGCAGCCAATAATGACGTCCCCACAGCAGTGAACACAGACAATCAGATCTCAATGGAGGCCAGTAATAAACTTGCAGAGATCTCTATGGCAACTAAAGAAGCCATAGAAATCAATGTGGCAGCTGAAAACATCGTTTCCGAGATTTTTTTGGAAACCATTCACACCAACCGTAAAACTGTGGTTTCCAATGAAGCTGCCATGGCAGCTGAAGAGCTGATTGAGGAGCTCTCCTCGGCCTACATGGAGAGGTGAGAGTCCCACACCAACACAATCAACCCAAAACCCCGTCCAGTGAAAAGGAACTGAGTAATTTAACCTCCACACAAACATAGTCACAAAGTACCCATGAGCATTTACCTCACTGAACAACCAGCTATACACTAACACTCTTCCTCTCAGTCTCTACCTCTCACTCAGGCTGGCTGAGCTTAACAAGCCGCGTGGTGGATCTCCTGTGTCTATGAAACAGGAGACAGAGGAGCAGGACCAAACTGAAAGAACCCAAACAGGCGCAATCACCCTGCCCCTCCACAGAGAGCAGCAGCTGATGAACAGAGGGTGTGTATGTGTGTTTCTTACTGCTTGTGAGGAAGCTGCTACTGTAAGTGAAACCCAGTGTATGGATATATATATATATATATATATATATATATATATATATATATATATATATATATATATATATATGTAATGTGTGTATTTTGTAGGTTAATGAAAGAGCTGCTATGCAAATGCTAGTCTGCAGTGTCTCTCCAGTGCAGAGTCTTTCTGCACACAGCTCTCGAGCCAACTGAGTGGAGCCTGGACGTCTGAACCACCAGCAAACTTGATCAGGTAGGGATACAGAAAGAGAGAGAATGAATACATTTCAGTAAGCATTCTACTACACGGCAGACACAACCTCTACATTTTCAGGATTTACAGGTAAGGAGCTACAGAGTAAAAGCCAGTAGCAGCTGCAGTCGGCTGCATATCAGTAAAATGACATTTTCCAAATGAATTCATTTTCCCAAAATTGTGACTTGTGTTGAAACAATTGCATAATAATAACGGCAGAATTTTATCTTAATACCTCAAAAATCTCAATAAACTAAGTCTTCTTTGAAGGAAGTTAATGTTTCATGAAATTAAGACATTTTTTGAATTACCACACCAATATTTCCAGAATACGAGTCATCATTTCTAAATTCTAAGTCAAAATGTTAACATGCTGCTGTCAGAAAAAGAGAAAGAGGGAAATATTTTTTTGTGCTCTACCTGGTTGGATGGGGCTTCCATAATAGTAAGAGTGATTATATGGCTGAACAATGATGGTGGCGACTGATCCTAGATCACTTCTCCTCCTCTGCCACTTGCTTTCTACAAATCCAGAGCCTTAAATGGGTTTTCTGCTCCTGCAGGCATTTCACTGAGTTGTGGACGCTGAGGGAGAGCTCTGACCAGAGCACGAACGCTTTGCTGCTGAGGAAGTTCATCAAAGCAGCTGCTGTCACCAACCCAGACTTCAGAGCAGACGTTCAGAATGTAGGAAACCCTTAAAAACGCACATGCACAGACAATTCTTAGTGTATTAGTATATCTGGTGATGCTCGCATGATGCGACAATGTTTTTCTGCGTGTGTTCTGTGTTTTTGTGATTAGGATGCCCATGAGTTTCTCTTTCATTGTTTGAGACAAATGGAGGAGTTTAGCCAAATCATCTGCTGGTCAGGAGGTGTGGCTTATGAATGCCCTGTCAGATCACACTTTGGCTTTCAGCTCATGTGTGTTATTACATGCGGAGGGTAAGAGATAACATGATAATTACCATATTAACTACAGTATAATTTTATGTAAATACTGGTATAATAAATACTCATTAATGGTTTAACTGTGTGTCTGTGTGCAGCTGTGGTTCTCAGAAAAGCAGACAGGAAGAGTGTAATCATCTTGCTGTAGCTCTGATGCCCCAGGGCTCAGTCACAGACTGCATCAAACTCTTCTTCAGTGTAAGTAGCTGACACTCATTCTCTGGGTCTCTTTCTACAATGCACACACACACTTTGTCTTTATGATGCACTAACACCAGAGAAATATGGAGCAAGTTTACAGAGAAATGTTTAACATTCAGTAACTTCTTTTTGCTGTTATGTTTAATGTTACGACTGTGTTTGATGTTACAAAATGGCTTAAGATCAGCTGCAGGCACCTTAAATCTGTTTACCAGCTAAAATCACTGTGTTTTCTTAGAAGTTAATTTTAATTTCTACATCAGTACTTGCTGCCTTCTGCCATGTTTCCTAGTAACAGCTGGGAATAACAGAGTCACCTGATCAGTCATATGGCTTAATTCGATTCGTGTTTATTCTCATTATAGTATTTATTTGTGCAAATGTAATGCTTAGATGAAAACCCAGCTTATGATTTCTATATTTGTGTGTGTTTGTTTTGTGTAGGACGAGGCAGAAATTGAGTGCAGGTGTGAGGTGTGTGGATGTAACTCTGCCAGCTGCAGGTGGGCGTTCCACACACTGCCCAGGTAAGCAGACACAGTGTTTGTATTTGTGGTGGAGCAGAGCTCCTGCAAGTGATAAAATGAAAGCGCATAAAAAAATGCTTCTGCCCAGTAGCTCTTTCTGTCAAACTGACTTTTAGTGATGAAATGCTTTACATAATGACATAATTTCCTGCAAAACACTTTTGTTGCATAAGTTTTGCTGAATCTGAAATGGCAGATCATGAAGTTCTGGCCTCTGCATCTAAACAGTGCATTAAATGTCCAAGAGATTTGACCTTCAGCTATCAGCTCCTCGTCTCCCTGTTGGACATTTTGTGCTTTATTTGACTGTAAAAACGCTCTCGTCTCCTCTCAGTCCTGCTGTACCTCTCCACCGTGCTGTTTGTGTTTACTGTAAGAGATATAGTTAAAATCTGTCACATGACACTAAATGTTTGTCCAAAGGCACCATTTTTACTCTAAAAACATTTCCAATGTTGTTTTTTCACAACATTTTAGGTATTGACAAACAATTTATCCACTAAAGTTGAATGAAAAAAAAAAAAAGTTTTGTCACCATTCATGAATTGTTACAGAAGATTTCTGTTTTCTGTTTCTACAGCCGACATCAACAAACTTTTTAAAGTGTTTAACATTTAAAATCTTGGACAAAAATGTAGTTACTGATGAAACTGCCTCAGCAGCTCTGCAGGATCTGCTCTGAGACAGAAACAAACACAGACAGAGCAGCTCAGCAGCTCAACACTAGATTGTGATCCTACAGTGTATTTATTCTCTCTCTCTCTCTCTCTCTCTCTCTCTCTCTCTTTAGGGTTGTCGGCTGATCGCATTGAGAAGCAGCACGATGAGATTCAAATAGACACAGAGTTACAGTTGAGCCTTCCAGTGCAAAGGTGACAAAACACACACACACACAAAACACACACAAAACACACACACACAACTGAGTCTCTCATGTTCACTCACACACTTTGTGAAACTGTTCTTGTTGTATTTTGCAGCAACTCTGGAGAATCAACAGGACACAATCAGAAGAAAAGAGCTTCACACCTTTCACATCTCTTTAGAGACACGCCCCCAAAGGGTAAATCACAACAATATTTTTACGAAACATTTCACAAGAGTGATTAAAATCCACGCTGTCAAAGTAATTAAGTAATTAGTATAATGCTGTATCAGAATATGAGTTTGCAGATTTAAGCGCAACTGTTGATTGATCAGATCATTTAACACAGACAGTAAACATCACACTCACTGCAACCAATCAGAGCTAATCTTTCATTTCTGTGTGACTTTCCTCTTTGTCTAGAGCAACAACAGCTGAAAAAAGAAAAGGGAGAGAGAAATGAACCGGTGAGGCAGAGAGACAGACAGAGAAAGAATGAGAGAGAGAGAGAGTAAGAAAGAGAGAGAGGGAGAGAGAGAGGGACACACAGAGAGGGAGAGAGAGAGACGGAGAGAGAGAGAGATGAAAAGTGAAAGAAAATATAGGAGAGTTGGGGAGTAGAGAATGAGACAGGAGCAAAAGTGAAAAAAGTAAATTGGATAAATTTGCACAGTAAAAGAATCATCATGTACTGAATGTGTGTAATTATTGTTTTCTTTTCTTTATTTTCATATTAGAGTGAAACAGTCTTCAGGTTCTCGTTGATCAGTGTGCTGAACCGTGTGGGACACAGCATAAACTTCGGTAAGAACATACAATAAAACAGCAAAAACAGTCAAGCGTGATAAAAGTAGAAGTCATAGCTTTGGTTCTAAAATCTGATTGGCTGAGCTGCATTTGAAGCCATTGTAAAAATACTCACCCAAGGCCTCTCATGGCTTATTGCTTTATCAGTAATATATTCTGTTAGTGTAAGAAACTTAAAGAATTACCATGCCATCTGTCTCACTCTGACTTTTTCACTCTCTCTCTCTCTCTCTCTCTCTCTCTTTCAGGACACTACCTGAGTGACTGCTCCAACCAGTCAGATTCATGCTGGCTGTCTTGTGACGACGGGAAGGTCACCTTAATGACGGAGGAGCAGGTTGCCCAGCGAAGGCAGAGTAGTGCTTATTTGTTACTGTATGAGAGAAAATAATTGTTGTGTGTAACTCATGTCCTTCTCTCCTCCCTGAGCTCCACAGCTCCTGCAGCCACACTCAGTCTCCGAGCCCTGGAGAGCAGATCAGCTCTCCCAGCTCTAAACTCTAATCAGACACCCCGCCGGCCAGAGGAGGACTGGCTCCCTCAGTGAGTTTCGGCTCCTCTCAAGGTTTCTTACTCGATTGGCTCAGAATGAGTTTTTCCTTGCCACTGTTGCCCTAGGTGTGCTCACTGGGGGCTTGGGTCCAGGGGAAATGTCCTTCTTCAGATTAGAGGTCACACCAGGGCCAATCAGAGAAGGAGACTGCAGTTAACTTTCATGTGTGGCATTAACTGACCTGTCCATGCTCCGCCCTGATGCTGGTTTGGACCAACTCTACAGAACAATGTAAAGAATCTCATTCGCCCTAATGAGAAACTGCAGTGCACAACAGAGTTTGGTCAAAATACCTAAATTTAGAGTAAGTTATTAATTTCAAATGATATTAATTTTGTATGGGTGCGCATGGTTACACTGTTGGGACAGATGATATATACAAAGATCTGATACAACAACAACAAAAAGTTTAGAATTTTGAAAAACTTCTTTTTCTTGAAAATTTATGACAGCTAAAATGTTGTTTTAAATGTTTAATCTTAAATGTTTCTTCACTATTTGTAGGTCACTATTCAAATTTAAGTAAATTTGTGACATTGGCCAGGCCTTTCAATAAACCCAGCAGAACTGATCAAAGTTTCTTACTGTCTTTGAATCGTTATTTATTAAACCCATTATTTTATTATAATCATTAACTGGAACATACACTCTGCTGGGTTATTTCAACAACAAGTAAGTGACTCATCAGTTTTTGGGCCTGTAGTATGTTAACCTACGTCTGGTGGAATATATTGATATGCGTGATAGAAGTTCTGTTTAATTTATTTTGGCTCACGAATTAAAGTAGAAAAGTGTACAATGTGCAAAATAAAAAAGCCCAAATGGTGAATTAGCCAAGTTAGCTAGCAACCGCAGTGTTAAGTGTTAAACTCGTCAGCTAATATAACGCGATAGTTTGACGAAAATCAAATGTAAATTAGTCCCCACTGGCCCAAAATGTAGTTGAGCAGCGACAAGTTTGATTATAACTTTTTACTGAAGCTACGAGGACAATTTAGCTGCTTCCTAACAAATATTAGCTATATATTATTAGTAGCTGTGCCGCTAGGTAACTGACAGTTTTATGCTTTCTGAGGTTTGGAACTACTAGTTAGCCGTGTTAGCCTCGTAACTCCGGAACAAAAACTACAAAAAGCAACATTCACGCATCTCGCGCGTCTTTAGTGCAGGGCAGTTCTGGTTCAAATGATGAAAAACAAAACTTGACGTGAAAATGTGAAGTTATATTTCCAACCTACAGAGTTTTCAAATTGGCAGTGCCAGCGTGCTACAAACACTAGGGCAGGGGTTTCAGGCAGGGTTCTTTCCTGGTCCATGTACAGCAAAGGCTCGTGTTTTAGTTTTCCTAATGCTCTGAATTCACTTTATGAAGACGCGTTAAATTAGCTGATGAGTTGAATCAGGTGTCTTTGGAGGAGCGCTAACGTTAAACTCCGCAGGGCTGTGAGCCAGAAGGAACCTGCATTGGTCATTCATACACAAATGCTGAGAACCCATTACAAGGTAATAAATGTAATATTGTTTAATTAAAGAGGCTTCAGGTTTTCACTGTCACTCCCTTTTTGGGCATTTCAGTTTTCTGTTCTTAAAGGGGAATTCCACCAATTTTCTAAATTTCATATTAATTCTGTTTTTTTTTAGATGTGAACAAAGTCATTCAGAGTGGTTTGACATGGAATGGGCCATTGTACAGGAACTTGGATTTCTTTACAGTGGTGGTGATTTATTTGCTATCCAGCACCACCAGTGAACCTACACATGTCTTTTTACATGGATTATTGGTGATATTTAAATTGTCATAAATCTGGAGGAAAACTTCGGGGGCTGCTTTGTCTTACAACACTCTGAATGCATCCATCCACTATGAGTGGATTAAAATAAATAGATTCAAATACATTTTAAGCCAAAACTTTATCACAAAACTATCATAAAATGATGTCAGACATCAGCATTTTGCACCAAACAACTCTGAATTACCCTTTTTTACATCTCAACAGTTATGTAGAATTTTTGAAAAAAAGTTCCCCTTTAAATGAACATGGTGTCTGTGGGTCCCTGAAAAGGCATTGACATCACTTCACACACACACATACAGTAACAATATGAATGTGAGTTAGTTTGAAGAATGTTATTATATCTAATATTGTCATTGCAAATTTAATCTTCAGTTAAATTTGAAGTGGTTAAAAAAGTGGATTAAAAGGGCCTGTAGACACGCTGATGTTCTTGTTTAACTTATTTTAAAAATTGAAATACTGTTTTAAATATATATATATATATATATATATATATATATATATATATATATATATATATATTATATATATATATATACAGAAGCAGAGCGAATGGAAAGTAGAGAATCTTAATCTCAAGTGTGAGTGTAAGTAACCAGTATGAAATGGACTTTTGAAGGTTGAACTGGAGGTTTTTCACTGTATGGTGAAATTAATAGATGACCTTTGGCAACGCAAGTTCTTTGAAAGATACTAGAGTTTAATCCAACCTCTTAAGAGGGGAATTCCACTGATTTTTCCAAATTTCTGTGTGGTTCATTTGTTGCAAACAAAGTGATTTAGTGTGGTTAGATGTAAAATGCTCTGACGGAGTCAGAATTGTTCACAGTGGTGGTGATAGGAACCAGACATCCTTTTTTGTTTTCAAATTTACCACTATTTATATCATCGGCGTTACACAGAAAAACTCAGAAGACGTGTAGGTTCACTGATTGTTTTGGATAGTAAACAAAATGGTTATATTTGTGTTACATGCATGGCATTTTGAAAAGGCAGTATTTCTCAGTTAGCCAGATGTTTTAAGCCCAAAGTGGTGAATTGTCCAATAGGAATGTCTCTCAGCTTTTTTCTTCTTAGACAGGCTTCACTTATCTGGCTAAACTGAGAAATCTTGCTTTGTGAGATGACCCACTGGTTCCAATCACCAGTGCTGTAAAGAAACCTGAGTCTCTACAATGAACCATTTCACACCAAACCACTCTGAATAACGTTGTTTACATCCCAACCACTGAATTATGCGAAATCTTTGGAAAACAGTGGTTCCCAACTTTGATCCGGAGCACCCCTGGCTTGCATGTTTGTGTTTTCCTGCTTCAACAGACCCACTTCAACACAAGAAATCCCTGTTTATGAACTAATTAGTTTATTTGAGGTCTGTCACAGCAGAGAAAACACCAAAGTAAGGCATCCTTACAACATAATTTGCCACTGTTATCAGAACTATTGGCAAGCAAGCAAATAATATACCGCTCTGATGAATACTTTATTCTTATAATTGTTTGTATCGCAGTGATAGTTATGCTGTGATTTTGTAGCTTTAGAATTTAAGACATTACATGAGCATGTGTGACACACACATACTGACATTTCACTCAAGTTTGCCCGCCCCCCCCCCTTCTGTATTTCTCATTATGAAAATGTATGACAGTCAAATGATAATGTGGACATTTTGAACAACACTACCCATGATTCAGTGTTCTAAAGGTGTTTAAAAGTCTGGGATACCATCAAAATGAAATTACAGAAGTTGGTATTGGAGCATAGGCCTACATTTTTGTATGTGTATATTAATTTTTGTATACTTAATTATAAATTACAAAATTGCTGTGGCAAATGACACTTTGTGAGTGATAGACATATTAGAATTTGCTAATCTTAATTTTTTGCATTTTAAAGCGAGTTCACACTAGAATCCACATTTGAAGTACTGTGTACATAATTCTCTACAGATGGATCAGCTATAAAAACAAATATCAGGCCAATAATTTGTTGGCAAATAGTATATCAGCCACTGATATCATGTTACCCTAATAATTTTGACAATAGCATTTGGTTGATATGATTTTAAACCATCTATATTGGCATTTGCAATGAAATACATAACTTCAACCAGCACCTCTGCTAAAGCACCCTTTCATCTCTTTCTCTCTCTTTTGAATCTCTCTTAGTTGAAGAGATTGATAAGGAGAGCATCCTTATATTGGACGATGCTTCCATTGCGGCGCTGTTTCCTGTTTAAGGTCTGGGGCTGAATTTAAATTTGTACCTGAAAAAACTGAATGAGATAAGGCAGCTCATTCACGTGGGGTGTGCCTGTTTTAAATGTACGTTTGCTGGGTGTAATATTGGTCATCTGTTTGCAGTGCTGAGAATGACCCACCCCACCACCCAAATAATACCAACTCTGTGGGGGTCCTGACCATTGAAGAACAGGGTAACAAAGTATGCAGAGAAACAGATGGACTACAGCCTGTAACTGTAGAACTACAGAGTGAAAGTATATGGTCAGTGGAGCTGATCAAATGGACTATGAGTTAGTGCTGGGCGATAAGACCTCAAATCAATATCACGACTGTTTGAATATTTTACCTTGATTACGATTAATGAACGATTATTTTTTCCATTTTTTTGTTTGTTTTTTTTTGCCTTCATAGTTCACTGACAAGGTTTGTACTGTAAATATGCTCTGCATATCTTCATGTAGATCGTCTTAACAGCCAGATCGGAATTCACTCGGCTTTTACGTCAATCCAACACGACATTTCTCATAATTTCACGCTGTCAGTCAGTGAAGCTTCATGATGGCTCCTGTGATGCTGGTGAAGATCAAGCTGATCCTCCAGGAGCAACTGGCGTTCGTTGGCAGTCATGATTGTTTACCACTGGATGAGTCGGGTGAAGCAGCGTTAAGCTCTGTTCTTTTGTGCATGCGGGTCAGTTTAGGAGCTGATCTCTTCAGACTGATGTCACATACAGATCACATTTAAAAGATATTGTGAACAGCCAAACAAAAAAAAAAAACGGGTTTGGTGAGAAAATTTGATTAGAGCCACTTTTACCTGCTTTGTAAACGTAGGCTTAGCTTCCATGTCGCAGACTGGAAGTGGTGGAGTCACAAGACTACACGTGCGGTAGTAAGTTTTAGGGGGACAGTACATGAACACACAGAGTGGGGAAAGTATTAACAGAATTTTCAAAAATTTAAAATAACCAACATGGACAAGATTACATCGGTTAGAGGTTCTGAATGTCGGCCCTACTATGAGTGTAGATACAAGGAGGTGTACTTAATAAAGTGGCTGGTGTGTGTGTGTGTGTGTGTGTGTGTGTGTGTGTGTGTGTGTGTGGTGCGTAAAATACAATTTTCCTGCCATTGTAAAATAACTATTGCTGTGTTTGTTTGTATTACCACAGGTTGGTACTAATATGGTGGAGTTCCTGTCTCAGACAAAAGTCTCCAGACCTGATCCGTATGTTTTAGCTGTAGAAGATGATCAGTCTTTTGTCATCATTAACAGACCAGCTGTGGAGCAGAGCACACTTGTTGGAGCAGCTGACATCTGTTTCAAGGCATTCTGTGTATTTGATATCTTGGTACTCCAACATTGTTCTCCAGTTTGAGTGTGTGTGCAGACTGCTGTGTGTGAGCTTCCAGGTCAGGAATCCCTGCATTAAGACTTTATTCTTGCCACTGAACAGTGACGTCCATCCATGATCAGCTTCCAGAACAAGAAGGGAGTGTTAGAAGACTCTTGCTGTATAAGATCTCTGGGCAGTCATTTTGTAAGTAACGTTGAAATTGTAACTGGGAATTCAGTGCTGACAAAGGTTTGCTGTTCCTAAATGCAGTGTTAGTGTTTGCAGTGGAGTTATGACAATTGTTAATTGTGACAATTTTCTGGTGTTAATTCAGTGTTAAATGGGTAGTAAATAACATTTCTAAAATAAATATATCTTAGTACTATTTATATAAGTAATTGAATGTTATCATGTTATTGTATAAGCAGTATTTCCCATGTTACACTTAATGGGTTTTATGCACCTATTAATATGTTCTAAAATAAATCACTACATGATTAAATGTGATGTTTCATTTTTATGCATATTATTTGAATTTCAGCATTGCTTTGTTGTGTAAGGATATAATACTGTGTAATGTAATTAGTTATTTAAATTTATCATTGGAATAAAATGGAAAAAATAAAACAACCCAGCCTTTGGTTCATTTAACCCAGCAATACAGTAAAAAGTACACAGCTGTTGGGTTAATTGCTTGACCCAAAAGCTGGGTGAGAATAACAACCCAAGATGTTGGGTCACGTCTATCCAATGCTGTGTTTGTCCAATATTGACCCAAAACTGGGTTATGAAAATGACCCCATTTGGGTCAATTTCTCCCCAGCGTTTTTTAGACCGTGTAGTAACATGAACTATTTTTATTCAACTAAAGAAATTACACTGATTGAAAGAATCATTCATTCAAAGTATTCATTTCGGTTGAATAAAACTAGTTACCTGGTACCACATGAAGTTATTCCTTTAGGTTGATCTGACGAGCCATATTTTACAGTGTGTGTGTTTTAGTGCCACACTCATGGAAACATGATACAGTGAGGAACAGAAAGACCACAAAGGCAAAAAACACAGTGAGCTACTGTGACTTATTTGATTTACTTGTGTTTGTTTGTTCAGTGAAAGTTTGTTGTGTAAAACTCTTGTATCTCCCGTTGTCTTCTGACACCATCTATTTGCATATTATACATGTTGTTCCCCCTGTTCTGTTTACCCTCTGGTCAAGCTTCCCTAATGTATGTGTTTCCCTTTTGTTCTTTGGTTAATTATCTAGCACCTCTGGCTGTAAAAGTGAGTTAATGTGTGCTCTGTTCCTGAAAGTGTTCCTATACTGCACTGTTAAAATGTCAGTTCAACCTAAAAAATTACTTTATGTGGTAACAAGTTATTAAACTAATTTTACTCAACTTAGTACATTTATTTATTTGATTTAAATAAAACTGTTTAATTTGCTTGTCACCACATAAAGTACATTTTACAAGTTGCCATTTTTTTTGCAGTGTGGCTGTAACTTAAATCTATTGGCTTGGCTTGTATTGCTTTTGCTCTTATTATTTAAAATAATTTAAAATGAAATAAAATGTATGCATCACACATGAAAATGATCAGTCCAATTGATTTCCATTCATTCAGTTCATTTTATGGTACTT